ATTGATTTATGTTGAAAAATAAAAGGAATATTGTTATAATAGGACAAAGACGAATTTTAGTTACACTCCACTCTATTTAAGAAAGAAATTTAGCAAAAGCTTTCTATAAAGAGAACATTTAGTGAAAATTTTCTTTAAAGAAAAAAAATTTGCAATTATTTTCTTTAAAGAAAGAGAAGAGAGATTTTTTTCAAAGGGAAAATTTAGCGAAAATCGCGTTATATAAGAGAAACTTTGCTCTACTTCTTAATTCAAAAAAATTGTCGCTGTAGCTCACCGAATGCTCATCGAAGCTTATGGTGAATGTGTTTCATCCTGCTAGAGGTTGCTCAGGACAGACAAAACAATTTAAAGACCAAAATCCATGAAGAAATTAAACTAAGATAATTTTTGAAGCGTCTTATTAAGCCCCCTTCACACGAGCACACAAGTAATATGATCTGTCAAAATTTTGTGTAGAAGAAACGGATGGGATCGTCTAAACGTAATATGTAATGAAACCATCACAAATTGGATGGAAAATTTGACAGACGTATGGCTCTCTTCATTTTTTGAAATGATTCAAAAAATCAAGCAAGTCGTATTAGATCAGGGATGTATATGTAAACACATACAAAAAAAGGGAAACAGCTGTTTCCATCCTACTTTGTTATTGTTTTATACCAATCGTGTAAACACGAAAAATATAAATCATACGATTTTTATTCTAATTTTTGTCATACGGATAGAATTTCATTTTACTTTTTCATTAGACTTGTCGTACGTAAAGTGTGATCGTCTGAAGGGCCCTTTATTTGTGATGAAAAATAGATCCATTTTAATAATCCGAATCGCAAGAGATCTTATATGAAGCTCGTCCAACCAGACGAATCAATACGAAAGTTCTGTATATGGTGGGACCAAAAGGGTCCTATATTATATGAACCGATTATTATAGGGAACCTGTAACGAATGGAAATGATTTCTTTAAACCTATGATTGTACAAAAAATCGCCTTGAAGTTGCGGCATGACATGAAAGCTTAATATCCCAACATAACAACACCCGGCCATATGTTAAAAACTATTTAAAAATAAGTTTTTGGAAAGTTTTGCCTCACTCGCCTTATAGTTCAGGCCTTGTCCCGTCTGACCAATATTTGTTTCAGTCGATGTAGAACTCCTCTCTCTGGAATATGCTTCACTTCAGATCAGGGTATCCAAAATTGTCTTGATGCATTCATGGCCTCCAAATATGAGCAGCTCTTTTGAATCGGAAACCATATCTTGCCAGAAAGATGACAAAGGGTCCATAACATTCGTTGAAAAACTTTCCTCAAATGCTAAAATATGCTAGTCAAGGGAAGCTGGGTGATCCAGTCGATTTGATTACTATGAAGGTTAAAGTGGAAAGTTTGATTCTATGTATATATACTTTTGTGAATGTACGTTCAAGTTTGGTCCCAGCTCATTACATAGGACTCTGTTCTGTATCGTAAATGTAAACAAGAGAGTAAACAGGAGAACATTTTGTTGCACTCACAGAAACTAAAGCTGTTTGGTAGCTATGTATATATATGTGTGGGTCAGGGCACTCGTTGGCATATCTGCAGCATACTTCCCTGTGCTTTACCAGCCGGATATGTTTCGACATGAAGAGATCGCATCTTTTTTTTAAGAGTTTTGAGATAGAACTATAAATACTGCAGAGCAGCATTGCTTACTCTCGACGGTTCTCCGGATGAAAGTATTTATCAGATGAACTAGTTCGATAATACTTCTGATAACAAATTGATGATTGGCAATAATGCCATTATCGCTAATATGTAATATTAAGCCCCAACTTTAGCTAAACAGACTTTCGGATATTTTGCATTAAGATTTCTGATTTTAAAATCCCCTTATTTAGTAAGTGAAAATTTTTTATAAATCCCCATAGATCACTGGTTACAGCCTGTAGCAAAATTCTTACTTGCTGCTATTATTGTGTAGAGTATAACTATGACATTTGTTGTGACTAGAGGAGAATTATAGCAACAAAACCGCAACTATTCAATAAATTGAATTGAAGGCAGTTCATGTATGTGTTGTTTGGGTATATGTGATATAAGGATTTTAACAATATTTCATTTCCTAAGGGTATCCACAGACTCCCGCTTAATATACGCAATCATAAGACGATAAAATATACAGACACATTGAGAATAAACATTTTATAGTTTGTTGGCGGCTGTATTAAATAATACCCAATAGGAAATTTGTAATGAACTATTTAATGAAGCAAACGTTACTTATTTATTCATTACTAAAGACTAGTTCGGTGGGTAGTAAAAATAGAGCAATACAATGGACTTCCTGTAGTACGAATGCTCTTTATTACGAATTTCTAATAATACAAATGGTAAGATTTTTGCAATGACTACTCTATACTATAGATGCAAGCATAGTTTCTTTACTCATTACTACAGACTAGTTCGGTGGGTAGTAAAAATAGAGCATTACTAGTACAGGTTTAAACACCCGTAAACCATATATTGACTAGTTCTACAATTATATTAAAAAGCTTTTAGATGCCTTAGCCACCAATTCATGAACAAAATGACTTGTCTTTCTAAGTAACATCAAAAATTTCCTGTTGTCCTGCTAAGGCAGTCATTATTATTATTATTTGTACATGTGTAGAAAATAATATATAACATTATCAGTTACATATGTTAAAGACAATTATAACCAAGCAAACGCAATACACAGAACATACAACAACGAGAAGGGAAGGAAGGAAATATGTTCTCAATATTTCGTAAAATATATGTGAAGAAAAAACAACTAAATAACCATATTTTTATTATTTATGTACAAATTTATGAATATCTCTAAATGTCTGTTCAAACGCCTGAAATTGTGCACATGAGTATCCACTTTCTATAAACGCAAAATTAATGTATGAATATGTTTTTTTTTTTATATATACATTTTAGTGGTAGTTTTGTTTAGAAACGGGGCGGAAATACTAATTAGTTTCGGTTAAAATATAAATACAGACAAAATGACAATGTATGTATGTGTGTGGTAGAGGAGAGCTGTATCACTTAAAGTATGTTATGGAAAATAATTAAGGGCTTTATATTTCCGTTGAGGTTTAGCAAATGTATAGTGGGAACATGTGTTTGAATAAAATACTAATGTTGTTTCAATAAAGAAGAATTTATAAATAAAAAGTTTTAATTTTTATTTCTTTTAAAGAATGCTAAAAAGAGGAAACAGTATGATTTGCAATGACTGCTACAGACAGACTTTTTTTGGTGGAAACAACAGATCCATATGAATATCTTTATTATAATATTTTGTTACGATTAGCCCTTAATCGATCATTATATTAATTCCTGCTATTTTATTTAAAGAAAGCTAGAATTTTTAAAAATATTAAATTTGGAACACTGTGACGTATGATTGATATTAATTTAGAGGCTATTTGAGAAATATCATCAGAACTTTTAAACCATTAACGATATTAGAATGGTTCTTTTGACAAACTGAAGCCAAGGTTGTAGGCTATATAATCATGATTAAAATCATCCATTAATACAAGTTATAGGGTAGTTGTAGACAGTACTATAAAGAAACCCATTTTAGAAATTTAAAAATACGAATATTGTTTCAATAAAGAAGAATTTATAAATAAAAAGTTTTACTTTGTATTTCTATTCAAGAATATAAATTTTAGTTTTACATTTTAAAGATAAAAAGAGGAATGGGTATGATTTGCCATGACTGCTACAGACGGACTCATTTTAAGTGGAAACAAAAGATCAATATGAATATCTTTATTATAGCATTTTGCTGCTGTTAGTCCTTAATCGATCATTATATTAATTCTTGCTATTTTATCTAAAGAAAGCTAGTATTTTTAAAATTATTCAATATGGAACACTGTGACGTATGATTGATATTAATTAAGAGGTTATTTGAGAAATATCATTATAACTTTTTAACCATTAACGGAATTAAAATGGTTCTTTTGGAAAACGAAAGCTAAGATTATAGGCTGCAAAACCAAGATTCAAATCTTGTATAAATGCCAGTTAAAGGGTAGTAGTAGACAATACTATAAAGAAACCCATTTTAGAAATTTAAAAACAATAATGTTGTTTCAGTAAAGAAGAATTTATCAATAAAAAGCTTTAATTTATATTTCTTTCACAGAATATAGAATTAAGTTGTAGACTTTAATGCTAAAAAGAGAGAAAAGTATGATTTGCCATGACTGCTACAGACGGACTCATTTTAAGTGGAAACAAAAGATCAATATGAACATCTTTATTATAGCATTTTGCTGCTGTTAGTCCTTAATAGATTATTATATTAATACGGGCTATTTTATCTAAAGAAAACTAGAATTTTTGAAAATATAAAATTTGGAACACTATGACGTATGATTGATATTAATTTAGAGGTTATTTCAGAAATATCATCATAACTCTTAAACCATTAACGATATTAGAAGGGTTCTTTTGGCAAACGTAAGCTAAGATTTTAGGCTATAATACCATGATTCAAATCTTGTACAAATACCAGTTATAGTGTAATTATAGACAGTACTATAAAAAAAACCAATTTAGAAATTTCTATACAGAAAATTTCAAATGATTATAATAACTGCTGGTTTTATTTAAAAACTACAATTGAACTTTTTTACTTAAATTTGAAACACTTTCTTCAACACAACTTTTCTTTGGGTGCAGTCTTTAGCAATGCAAAAAAATTCTCCCATACCTTTCAATTTATCTTCATTTCATTTTCATTTCCACTTTTATATTTATAAATAAAAACAAATTATTTAAGCATTACACAAGAGAGATTAATATTGATTATAATAAATTGTTAATTACGCCCAAACATATTTTCAAAACGAAATTAGAAACTAAATAACAAACAAAAAAAAATGTGTTACAATAAAGTTTTCTGAAAATAAACCCAAAAAAAAAAAAAACGAACTTTAAAACATGACTTTAATAAACTCACCTCCATATCTGCAATTTGTTTTATCTGTTGGTATATTACCATTTGGTTCCAGTCTATCCAAATACTCTTCGGAATTGTAACCATTATAGGGAACTTTATTACCGTGATTGTGACTATGACCACCTCGATGGTGATGATGATGATGGTGGTGATGATGGTGTGTATCATCATTATCTTCTCGGGATATTGCTATAAAAATAGAAAAAGAAAAACGGTTTTAAAATTAATTTTATGTACAAAAATTTTAAATAAAATTTATATATGTTTGAAAACATTTGTAATTCATGTGAGCAAGTTTTAGCAGTGGCTTTTGTGGTTTAGTTAAACTTAAAGGCACGTACGCTTACCAAAAAAAAAATAATCCCACCTCCCATTGAACGCACACAACATCAAACCACAAAATTCAATTTTATGTCCTTTTATTGTGATCCCCATCTAAAAGCCGTTTTTATATGTGATACATGTTTGTTACTGTGGCATTAGATTTCATTCAAACATACCTAAAACCGTAATTTTACATACTCGCATGTATCTAAGCTATTATAGCTAAACTTTCTATTAAGTATGTCATGTGTATATGAATATGGCAACAAATGACAAAAAAGGGTTACTAAGGATAATTCTTGTTCACTGGTTGTTACAGCCATAAACTTTCAAATTGAGTGACAACCACTTATTGGATGAAATTAAATTTAAAGAAAACTGTTTTAAATTTATTTTAAATCTAGCGTTTGAGGGGTTTCTTTTTATCGAAAGGGTTCTACTTTATAAAATAATGAAGCAGGTTTAAAGTGGGGGGTGGATTTATGAATCCACTCAAACAATTGATAAAATCTATTGTAAGCTATTGTAAATTCTTCTTTATTGGCTCAAGAATTTAACAGTTTGCTAGCTATTTGTTAGAATTTGGCAAATTTTATTATCCTGTGTGCCGAAACTAAAAAAAAATGGCAGAATAAAAACTTGCGGAATTCTATTTTGTATAATATGTGATATGATTTTATGTCCTTCTTTATAACTTAAAGCCCTGGCTTTCATTTGCTATACAAATCTTTGATGGTTTGAAAGTTATGATGAAATTTCTTTAATGACCTCTAAACTAATATTAATCATACGTCCCCTAGTCTTCAAATTAAATTTTGTAGATATACTAGAAATACTAGTTCTAGTGCATTTCTAATTCAGTTCTAGTTCAGTTCTAGTTCGGATCTAGTTTCAGTTTTAGTTCAGTTCTAGTTCAGTTCTAGTTCAGTTCTTGTTCAGTTCTAGTTCAGTTCTAGTTCAGTTCTAGTTCAGTTTCTAGTTCAGTTCTAGTTCAGTTTTAGTTCAGTTCTAGTTCAGTTCTAGTTCAGTTCTAGTTCAGTTCTAGTTCAGTTCTTGTTCGTTAGTTCAGTTCTAGTTCAGTTCTAGTTCAGTTATAGTTCAGTTCTAGTTCAGTTCTAGTTCAGTTCTAGTTCAGTTCTAGTTCAGTTCTAGTTCAGTTCTAGTTCAGTTCTAGTTCAGTTCTAGTTCAGTTCTAGTTCAGTTCTAGTTCAGTTCTAGTTCAGTTCTAGTTCAGTTCTAGTTCAGTTCTAGTTCAGTTCTAGTTCAGTTCTAGTTCAGTTCTAGTTCAGTTCTAGTCAGTTCTAGTTCAGTTCTAGTTCAGTTCTAGTTCAGTTCTAGTTCAGTTCTAGTTCAGTTCTAGTTCAGTTCTAGTTCAGTTCTAGTTCAGTTCTAGTTCAGTTCTAGTTCAGTTCTAGTTCAGTTCTAGTTCAGTTCTAGTTCAGTTCTAGTTCAGTTCTAGTTCAGTTCTAGTTCAGTTCTAGTTCAGTTCTAGTTCAGTTCTAGTTCAGTTCTAGTTCAGTTCTAGTTCAGTTCTAGTTCAGTTCTAGTTCAGTTCTAGTTCAGTTCTAGTTCAGTTCTAGTTCAGTTCTAGTTCAGTTCTAGTTCAGTTCTAGTTCTAGTTCAGTTCTAGTTCTAGTTCAGTTCTAGTTCTAGTAGTTCAGTTCTAGTTCTAGTTCAGTTCTAGTTCAGTTCTAGTTCAGTTCTAGTCAGTTCTAGTTCAGTTCTAGTTCAGTTCTAGTTCAGTTCTAGTTCAGTTCTAGTTCAGTTCTAGTTCAGTTCTAGTTCTAGTTCAGTTCTAGTTCAGTTCTAGTTCAGTTCTAGTTCAGTTCTAGTTCCATATTTTAAATAAAATGAACATTTAAATTCCTACGAATATTATAATCTATTTTTTTAGTTTTAAATTAAAGAAATTTAACCATTTATAAAATATATATATCAACTTCAGTAATAATACATTCACATACACACATAAATATCTACATAAGTACTTTTGTCTGTAGTGGCTCATATGAACAAAGTAAGTGGCTTAAATGTTACATAAAAGTAAGAAACAAAAACAAATGAGAGAGAGCTTTCAACACAAGGATACAATAACAAAAAATATCCCTTTGACAAAACACACTTAAACACACACAAATTTCAGTCAAAGCCAGCAAATGCAAGCAAGTGTTTGAATGTGTTTGTTACATATACAAATGAATATTGTCCTTTGTCAATAAACCTAAAATTATGCAATGAAATTGTTGTGGAAATCCAAAAAGAGAAAAAACTAACGCCACATGTTTACAAAAAATGTAAATTTTGTTGTTTTTCCAAAAAAAAGGCGGACTATAAACCTGCCCTCTAATACAAACATTCGCATCAACAAAGAGAGAATCCTACTAACTTTTTTTTAACAGTAAACAATGTAGGAAAAAAGTTTTTCTTTGCTGTTGTTGGTATCCCTTTGATACTCAATAAAAGTTTACTTTTTTGCTTTTATGGGTTTACAGTTTACACTTACACATCGAAACACACACATCATTCCAATCATCATCATTTGCCTGGTATTAGCTGATAAATTGAAAGTTGAAAACTCAAAAGGGAGTAAATAACCAGTTACAGTTACAAACAGAATTCGAGTGAATGGCTGCTCAAAACTAAAACACAAAAGTATTTACAGACTAGTAGAGCTAAAAAGCAAAATAACTACAACTGCAGCAACAAAAAATCGTTAATAAAGTACTTTTGTTGTCAAAGGATCACGGTTTGCTTTTTTGCATATTTTTTTTTTACCGGTTTAACATATAAATATTTCACAATTTTTTATAATAAAAGTATTTGTTGTTAAAAAAAAATACAGGAATATAAATCCCTATTTTGTATTTTATAAATAAATTTGTGTATTTGGCAATAAATACCATTTTACCCTCTAATGCTTGTGTTAATGGTATTTTAGGGAATAGAGTATATAAAAAGCAAAAAACTTTATAGTTTTAAGGAAGAAATGGTCGGTCAAGGGCGAATATTGGTAATAAATGAAAGATCCATGAAAATTCAATTTCACTTCGGTTCTGATGAATTCTAGTTTAGTTTTAATTCAAGTTCAGTTCTAGTTCAGTTTTAATTCAGTTCTAGTTCAGTTCTATTTCAATTCTAGTTCAGTTCTAGTTCAGTTCTAGTTCAGTTCTAGTTCAGTTCTAGTTCAGTTCTAGTTCAGTTCTAGTTCAGTTCTAGTTCAGTTCTAGTTCACTTCTAGTTCAGTTCTAGTTCAGTTCTAGTTCTAGTTAAGTTCTAGTTCAGTTCTAGTTCAGTTCTAGTTCAGTTCTAGTTCAGTTCTAGTTCAGTTCTAGTTCAGTTTTAGTTTAGTTCTAGTTCAGTTTTAGTTCAGTTCTAATTCAGTTCTAGTTCTAGTTCAGTTCTAGTTCAGTTCTAGTTCAGTTCTAGTTCAGTTCTAGTTCAGTTCTAGTTCAGTTCTAGTTCAGTTCTAGTTCAGTTCTAGTTCAGTTCTAGTTCAGTTCTAGTTCAGTTCTAGTTCAGTTCTAGTTCAGTTCTAGTTCAGTTCTAGTTCAGTTCTAGTTCAGTTCTAAGTTAGTTCTAGTTCAGTTCTAGATCAGTTCTAGTTCAGTTCTAGTTCAGTTCTAGTTCAGTTCTAGTTCAGTTCTAGTTCAGTTCTAGTTCTGTTCTAGTTCAGTTCTAGTTCAGTTCTAGTTCAGTTCTAGTTCAGTTCTAGTTCAGTTCTAGTTCAGTTCTAGTTCAGTTCTAGTTCAGTTCTAGTTCAGTTCTAGTCAGTTCTAGTTCAGTTCTAGTTCAGTTCTAGTTCAGTTCTAGTTCAGTTCTAGTTCAGTTCTAGTTCAGTTCTAGTTCAGTTCTAGTTCAGTTCTAGTTCAGTTCTAGTTCAGTTCTAGTTCAGTTCTAGTTCAGTTCTAGTTCAGTTCTAGTTCAGTTCTAGTTCAGTTCTAGTTCAGTTAGTTCAGTTCTAGTTCAGTTCTAGTTCAGTTCTAGTTCAGTTCTAGTTCAGTTCTAGTTCAGTTCTAGTTCAGTTCTAGTTCAGTTCTAGTTCAGTTCTAGTTCAGTTCTAGTTCAGTTCTAGTTCAGTCCTAGTCGCTATATTTCTATCAGTTTAAATCTGTGACGCAATTTATCAACTAACCTCCAAATTAATATTAATCATACGTCCCCGTGTCACATTAATCTGCTCAATTGTAGCTTTTTCTATAAAAACTGTAGGGTATCATTCAAAAACCCAAAAACAAATAACAAAAAATTAGAAATATACATTATTTACACGGGACTTTTAAGTCCGCATTTGTATTAAAAAAATACTAACAAGCGAAAATAAATTGTCTATGCAAATCCAGCTCCATGGTAAACAACTCCAGCCAGCGGTTTTAAATTTTGTTCGTACAAAAACAACAATTTGTATTCGTAACCATTTTTAACATTGTTGTTTTACTAAATTTCTTTTTTAAGTCTATTTTTCTTTTAGTTGTTGTATTTGTTCACAGGACAGGATTTCCTGTCGCTCTATATTTACAGAGTATTCTTAGTTGTTTTTTTTTTGTTATTGTTGTAATATTTTTGCTGTCATCATTGTTGTTGTTTTAGAGTAATTTGCATGTTTTTTTTTTTGCATCTATTTTGTGGAGTTGTTTCGTTTCTGTTGTTGTTGTGGTACATATTTTAACCCAGTTTAACTTCCATCATCCCAGTTTTGTTCTTTCAATTGTTTTGGTTAAATTGTGACATTTATTTGAATAGTAGTGTGTTTTTTCCTCAGTTTTCTTATTGTATTTGTGGTTTTATTTTCTGTATTGGCTAAAAAGGAGGTTATGTGTGTTGTGTTGTAGATTTCATACTAAAAGCATACCAAAAGTTATTAAAAT